TCCTCATCACTACTCCCCACCAAAAATGCATTTGGATCCTTTCGCAACTTTCCATTCATCTCTTCCCATTCTTTTTTTTTAGGCCGATGATAATTTATATAAAGGACAGAACTCCTACAAAACTTATATCAAAAAACGCGATACCGCCGCAGGAAATGCAGCAAGTTCCAAAATAAAGTACGAACATTATATTTCTTGGTGTTAGATCTCGATCCATATTTAAGTCTTTCTGATTGTTTACAGAGCCGGTCCGATAAGGGCACCAACCAATATTCGAGTTACTTCACGTTTCGACTATCAACCTGATATATGCAAAGATTACAAAGGTAACCTCACTGAAGAAGAAAAAAAATTTTTTAATGAATCAATGATTTTAATCAATTTCCTTTCAGAAACTGGATACTGCGGTTATGGCGATTCATGTAAATTTTTGCACGATCGAGGTGATTATAAAACCGGATGGCAGCTGGAAAAGGAATGGGAAGAGATGAATGGAAAGTTGCGAAAGGATCCAAATGCATTTTTGGTGGGGAGTAGTGATGAGGAAAGTGATGATGAATTACCTTTTGCCTGTCTCATATGCCGACAGGAATTTAAGAATCCAGTGGTTACCAAGTAAGTAACAACAAGATTTGGATTAAGATGAATGCATAATGATGAAGTCATAAATGGGAATCTCTCTGATTATTTTGACGATAACATTCTTCTGAATGCAAAAATTCAGACTTTCCTTTTATTTTCTCGATTGGATTTGGTGCCCATTTTAACATCATTATTTACTTCAGGTGTGGACATTATTTTTGTGAAAAGTGTGCCTTGCAAAACTATTCCAAGAACCAGAGGTGTTTTGCATGCGGATCCCCTACAAACGGCATATTCAATACGGCAAAAAACATGCTGCAAAAAGTTGAAGAAAGAAAGAAAAGACTAGCAGAGAAGCAACAAGAAAACAAAAATAAAGGAAAAAATAATGAATCGAGTTCTAGTGATGGAGAAATAAGTGATTGATTATATGAAATAACTATTTGATAGTTCTTACTATGTTTCGTAACGAACCAATGATTTTTTCATCGCTGTGCCGAATGACAGCTCAATATCTAATGCGGGAACTTTTTTACCTTCGAACTTTTTATATTATGTCATAATTGGAGATTATTGAATGCTGTCAGCATGTGACTTGCATTATGCATAGTGTGCATGTATATAGCCGTATGTACCATCCGGGTTGGAATTTTCTCAAATGAATAGTATGGGTATAAGGCCTTCTTATGCCTGGATATGTACAATAAAATATTATACTTTGATTTGCCTAGTAGAGCATCACGCAATTCTTTTCCTGATGTTCCTTGTCTTATTGCTACCACTTCCGAATTTTCTTTTTTTAAAAGAAACAGTATTTTCACCCGCAACCTCATCTATCGAAAGAGTTTTTTCGACTACTTTAAAGTTACTTAGATCATCAGGATCTTCGAATTCATCGTCATCCTGTAGAGGTGGTATTGAATTATCGTTTTTAAATTCATCTTTTATAAAAGGATCTTGCTTTTGAGCTGATGCAGACACAGGTGGTGGTGTTACTGGTCTCCATTCTCCTATGACAGATTCCTCGATCTGTGCATCGCCTGCTGCTGCAGATTCTCCAGGATATTGTGTTGTCACTGTAGGTCGCGAATTTGATTGATGAGTACTAGACGTGGCATAGGATGTTGTAGGAGGCGGTGGTGGAGGAGGCGGAGGTATCGACGCAATATTCGCACCAGGAACTTCGAGCGCCAAATCTTTTTTGTATTGTTTCAGAGCATCCTTTTGATTTAAAGACTCATTTTAAATCATAGATTGCGGGACATATTTAAGACGCACATAATAAGCTTACCCTTTCAATTCTTTTCAACTCTCGTTTGATCTTATCGTTCTCCTTTCGTTCTTCTTGTTCCTTACGGTAAATATTTCTGAGGAATTTTTCTACATTTTCCTTATGTTTTTTTCCCTGCTCATGAATATTTCGACTCTGATCACAATAATTAAAATACAAAACAGTGAGATTTGTACTAATGAATACAATCAACGTATTGAGAGATACTCACTGGTTTATTGTTGGCGATGTAAATACGACAATATTGACACCAATGTTTTTCCTGCGAAACCCAATATTCGGACCTACATAATATGTCGCGTTAATAAAGTAGAATTCAAGACAAGTAGAAGCATCAGCAAACTTACATTTGTTAAATTTTTATAATTAGATCGAAGATTTATTAAATCGACTAATTAAAACAAACATTCTTAAATGAATAGACGATTTATAATAACCGGTTCGGTTTCCGAAATGACAATTACAGTGTGTAACAAAACTTCTTAGATTTAAACTATTGCATAAAAAATATATCAAAATAAATCTAAAAACTTAGAGATTTTATTAATATAAAATTAATAATTAATTCATTTACCTTCCTTTTAAATTATCATTTCACACCTTTTTTTCATGGAATCTATAAAATTATTTAAAACCTTATTTGAAATTTTATTTTATTTTCTATCATAAATTATTCTAATTCTAAAATATTTTTAGATAATATAAATTTTATATTTCTTTTAACAATAATCCAAAGATTTTCAATAGGATTTAAGTCTAGACTATTAGAAGGTTAATCTATATTTTTAGAAAAATTTTTATTAACAAATATTTTAGCAATTTTGCTTATATGTTTTGAATCATTGTCATGTTGAAAAAAAAAATTATTTCTAAGCAATTTAATAATTTTTAATTTATGTTTTTGCAAAATATTAATATAAAATTTTGCATTCATAATTTCTTTAAAACAAAAAAAAAGAAGTTATTTCTTTTATACAAAATTCTCTCTAGGCAAAAATTTTGATATGATCTTTAGATATTCTTTTGATTAGTCTTGTATTTTTATATCATTGAGTAATAATATTTTTGAATAGTTGAAATACTGTTTCATCCAAAAATAAAGTCCTTTTCAATTATGATCAAGATATTTCTTTACTCAAATAATACAAGCTTTTTTATGAGCAGTAGTAAGCATAAAAGTTTTCAAAAATATATCATTTTTATAACCTAAACTTGTTAGATATCTTGAAATTGTTATATGAGATACTTTAGTATCCATATTAACAATTTAATTGTTATATGAGATACTTTAGTATCCATATTAACAATTTAATTGTCAAAGATCTTATAGAAAGTCTTGAATTATAGTATAAATATTGATCAATTGTTTTTATACATGTATAATAATCTTTTTAGGCTGATATTTATCAAATTTTCTTGAATTATTTTCTTTGAAATTTAATTTTTTAAGATTGTAATAAATAGTTGATATAGTTATACAATTCTAAAATATATTTTATTTGCAGAAGTAATTCCATTTTTCTACAAATATAATATAATTTAACATTATGTATATTTTTCAAAAAATAATATTGTAAGGATAAGTTTATAAAAAAAATAAAACAAGTTAAAAAATTTAATGATATATATATATTTGTTAAGTTATATTGTTTATACAGTATATTTGTTAAGCTATATTGTTTATATATTTAAAATTTCACATAATTTGTTTTGTTTTGAAAAAGTTATTTATATTTATATTATATAAATAAAATTCTAAAAAGTTTTGTTACATACTGTATTTATATTAATTGAAACTTTATTGATTTTTAAAATATATTATATTCTGATTATAAAAAATCAATAAAACTAATCCAAAAAAAATTTTATTGATAATCTATTACTATAAGTATTGAAATAAAAAAAAAAAAAAAGATATATAGAGTTTATATAAAATATACAGTTGATTTTAAAATTTTGAGATCATTTATTATATTTTTATTATAAATTTTAACTTTATCAATTTTTTTAATTATTAATTATAAGATTAATATTAATTCTAAAAACTCTCACTATTGATCCTTTAATCATTTTTTTTTTAATTCACAATCAGATTAGCATAACATATCTTTATTGTATATATTGTAATCAAATTTATATTTAACCAGTATATCCAAGTGGAATTGTTTTTAAAAGAACAATTCCCCCAAAAAAAATTAAAGAAACAATTTATAATAAGAAATATTCAAGAAGAGATTCACCAAAAATCCTTTAAACAGTGTCACACAGTATTTCACAAGAAATATAGTTCACTCAGAACCCAAGTTTATTAATAAATCAAGAAAGCTAGGGTAATTCCTTTAGTCCTAAAATCAAAAGAAGATATCTAATCTTCAAGAAATAAAAATGAAGTTATTTACAAACTTATCTTACTTTTAAGCAAATTATGACTACTTATATACTTGTAAAAATGGGCCACTTGGGTCTCTTAGGCCTCCTAAGCTGCCTGATCTATAATAAATTATGTCACGTGCTATATTTGATAAAGTGATCTATGTTAATCAAGTACCAATAAGAATATCAAAGAATATCAAAGAATATCAAAGAAATAATTATAAATAAATAGATAAAAATAAAAATAGAATGAACATCATGATTAAAAATAATTATCCAATAATATTAGAAGTTATTTTTATTATACTTTCCCTCCTTAAAAGACAAAGTCCTCTGAGTCAAGTTTCCTCACATAGGGAATAAAATCATTTCGATAAATCTCATTACTCATCCTAAATAGATAGTTCATGAACAAGAACTTTGTTTGATAAATTTTATTTGGATTGCCTTGAAGATTTTATAGGTGTGCCTAGCTGTGTGATAATAGTAGTGAGAATTTTGAAGTGGATTTTCCTAAAGATATTGTAGCTACAATTATTTGGAGTTCTAGATGGTATTTAATAGTTTTCCCAAATAGTATAAATTGATTAGAGTGGCTATATGTAACATGTGCAATATTAGGAAGTCATTTCATCATTATATATCTTAGTTAAAGGAAAACTTTATTAAATGTAAACTAGGAGCAGACAACTCT